AGTAAACCTCGTTTGGGTCCTGAAGGTTCCTGGGTGCTGGGTTCCAGACACAGGTGTTGGTTCTTTATTTAATTCCTTCCTTCTCCTTCCTTTCTTTTTTGAAGCAAGACTCCTGAATCTATTTACATATTTACGCTCCTCTGCAAGACACACAGGGCAGGTGACTTTTTTCCAGCCCCAAGGGCCAAGAAAGAGGGGAATCTCCTTGTCAGTGATTTAAGTAATCCTGGCTAATAAAATGTGTCAGGTCTGAGGGGAATCTTTGGGGAAAGTTTCCCACTGACAAAAGGAAATAACCTCAGGGTAAATAGCCTCATTTCTTTCCATTGAACAGTCACTTGTCTGCAAACAATGCATGGCACTGGAGAGCAATTTGAGAGCCAAAAAGGAGTTAAGCTGAAGGTCTGCTGAGGCCTGGGAGGCAGAAAGAGGGTGGAATCTGACCCTTGATGACCTCGCATAACCGCTGAATTTATCAACCCTGGTGCCACCCTCCAGGCAACACTTCTTACGAGAGATGATGATCCCCTCACTGCTTAAGCCATTTGGAGTTGAGGTTTTTGTTTCTTGCAGCTGGAAGCTCCCTAACTGATATGTATGGATAGTGAGTCCTAGCCCTATGATCAGTTATTCTATCTATCTGGGTCACTGTGGACAGACCACTTAACTTCTCTAGACCCCCATTTCCTCATCTTCACAGTTGACAAGTTGAAGGAGAGGCTTTCTGCCCTTCCTTTTAACCTTGAGATTCAGAGCTTCTGATTTCTCTTCCATCGCAGACAATGTAGGAACCCCTACCTTACTCTGGGTTTTGTTTCCAGTACTCTCAGATCAAACAGGATGAGTTTTCCCCTTTGCACTTCATTCCAAGGTTTGAAGCAAATGTTCTGTGTGTCACAATTACCTGTTATATAATTTATTCCTCTCAGATCCTCTTAGAACCTGAAGGGAATCAGAATATACCACCTCAAAATATGCCACTTTGGCATAAAGATTATTTTGAACTGAAGGCAACAGATGCAAGAAAAGTTCTCTGCCTGCCCCTTATCTGCCTAAAAGTAGGGCATAAATTTTCCTTTGAAGAAGATGCCCACTGTACCAGGAAGAGGAGGCTGACTCATCACTGGAGATGGGGGTGGGGGGGGGATGTCACACTGAGATGAATCTGCCTAAACAGACCTTACTAAAATAACCCTTATCTTTCAATAGCTTCCCTTATGTATTTCCTAGTCATTTCCCCACAATTTATCTCCCCTAGAAGCCCAAATCCCCTTTCTTGTGTCTGATCATTTCTCTACAATTTATCACCCTTTGTTAAAAGGGTGTATAAGCAGCCCCACCCCCAGTCTAACTGCTTCTTTGAGTTTTCACGTCTTTTCTGTGGATCTTCCAAGCATATAAAAATATTAGCATCCATAAAAAATGTTGCACCTTTTCTCCTGTTAATTTGTCTTTTGTCAGCTTAATTCTGAGGCTCCAGCTAATAAATCTAAGAGCATAGAGGAAAAGTTATTTTCTTCCCAAACTCCAACAGCTCCTAAGTTTTCTCAGAAATAAAAACAGAGGCTAATGACTCTAAGACACTTTCCAGTCCAGATGATTGATTACCAGCTCAACAAAACGTTGACATGAGGGAAGCCATATTGTAGAAAAGAAACAGTATTGTAGCTTTGAATGATTTCTGATTAACGAACCCAGACATGCTCTGTAGACTTTATGGTCCCTCCCAGCTGCTATAAGTTGATAACTTTGTTCTTTTGATTTCCTTAGGAATGTGATGACCCTTGGCAGAGAGTCTACACTGATGGCCATCAGCAATGATAACTGAAATATCAGGGTGTAGGGTTGCTCTGGTCTCTGATGCATGTCCAGTATAACAAAAGATTATCGGGAACAAAGACCAGATGCTTCCCCTACCCGGAGACCAGCCCCTTATATAACTGGCTTGTAGTCTTTGCTCTGTAAGACGGTTCTTTCAGATGTTAGTCGGCCATCTTCCCCCTTGTTAGCAAGCTGTAATAAAGTCCTTTCTCTCCTACCACCTTATCTTTTGACTATTAGCATGTCTTGCAGCAGGCAGATGACCCCACCTTGGGCAGTAACACAAACATCGCACGGATTTTTAAAAATCATCTTAGGATTACTTCTCAGTAATAACTGCTATTGAATGCTCTTAAGGGATAATATATTTATTTATATTTGCAAACATTTCAACAAAGGATGCAGTTCCAGTTCTTACTCCACTACCTCTCCCAGCTCAGCCAGATGTGGCATCAGAGAACAAAAGGTCACCTTAGCCTTTAGCCTTTCACTCAGTTGTTCCAGCCACAGAAACATGCTTTCTTTAGGAAGTTGAAACCAGCATGGAATATTCCAAATAAGTCACAATGGGAGAGATGGGGGCTGGAAAAAGGATATTAAAGGTGGTAGTACATCCACCGAAGAGTGAACCAAAGAATGGATTGAAGAGAGAGTGTTTTGGGAAGACACTATAATTCTCTGGCCCATAGCCTTTTTCACAAACATTGGTGAAAGACCAAAGCCCCCAAACACACACACACACACTCTCATAACCAATAGCTCTCATGGAGTATTTCGGGTTCTTAAGGGCTCAGCCACTCTACCAAGAAGAAGCCGGCTGGCTGAACTACCCTGCCAGCTCCCAGAGAAAAACCAGCCATCTTAAGACGTGTATACCCCACACAGTCACAAAGGTGAATATTTGGCTCTCACAAAAAAATAAAATAAAATAAAACCAACTCTATTGATTTCTCTATATTAGGAAGTTAAATGCTTGAGAATTAATAATAGCTCCAAAAAGTACAGATTTAACATCAGATAATATTTTGATATCTAAATATCATTTTTCTCATGAATTCCAGTTCTTTTTTATTTAGAAAATTTATACCATGCAAGATTTACGCCCCTGCTGACTATATTTCAGTTTATTCAGACATTTTGTTTTTTGAGTACCAGCAAGTGTAATATTAAGAGAAAGCTGAAAAATAAGTCAACAGGAAATAACATAATGCAGTTAGACTAATAGCTTTTTCAGCCTAATGTCTGCAATTAGGCCAGGGTTCCATGAACCATTAAATAGGGAGAAATACTTATGAGTCTCTTGAGAGAATGTCTTCACATTCTTAATATCCACGGGTCTCTCCTGTACAGAATATTTTCGGCTTCTCTGCTCCATGCCTATGAGTTTCATGCAAAGCAAATATTAACAATTTTTGTTATTCAATTCACTTAAAGTAACGTGGAAAAGAGTAATTTCCAAGTCAACTATTGATAATGATTTTTGATACTCAGTTCATGGGAGATGATGACAGTAGGACCACAATTGATTTGATAGGTTTGTGTCAACCCTGAATCTCAGACCACAGGAAAAAATAACACACTACAACTCAGACTGCTGTTAGTTCTATCTTTCTCATCAAGGCCATCAAAATGTGGGTTTCATCAGGGGAAGCCTGGGTTGGGCATCTGAAGTATCGGAGATTGCATTGTTGGTCAGCTTGGGCCTGCCTCATAACCAGAGTACGAGGATATTGTTTATGTAACGTGATGTAGGCTAGGGTCCCACAGAAGCCAACCCCAATATGTAAGTAGTTTGTTTGGAAGGTGACCACAGGAAGCCTCAGGAGGTGGGGTGAGGAGTTGGACAAGAAAAGGAAGGAAGTTATGTTAGTTTGGGTTCTCCAAGAAAGACAGGATTAGACATGCAAGAGATGGATTGGGGAAACAACCTGTGGGTATAAAATGCAGATGGAGTCGGAGGTCTCCCTCCTGTGGAGGAGGAAGAAGGGAGAGGGTTGGATGAGAATGATCTTAGACAGCAGTGCGGTTCTAATAAAGTTTTGGCAAAGTCTGTGGAAGGCCCTTGAGCCAAAATCAGCAGTCAGAGGAGCCCAAGATCTCCCAAGCTTAGGCCTGCCTCGGTATCCCCGCTGTGCTGCGATACTGGCAGCACACAGCCCACAAGAAGCACAGATGCTGGTCCAATACAGGGACGGATTTCAGAGGGCATTAACAGGATGCGGGTCTTTCACACTCCCTGGAGTCAGAGTTCTGAGAGGTGCCTTTTTAGGGATACCACAGAAGTCAGTTCAGAGTGGGAACATGGGGTTAATAAGCACATTAAAGACATGAGCAAATAGAGCTTAAAACTACTGGTGAACTCTGGGACATTGTGTTGAACACCCATGAGAGGTGTGACATGTAAAGGGTGAAGAAGCTGGGGTATTTATTGTGTTTAGGTTATTGCCTAGACATTAACTCCCCAGCACTTTCCATCCTGCCCTGCCTTTGGCCAAGCCTGCTCCTAAAGCCACAGAAGGCCCTAGGGAAGAGAACCCAAGGTGCTTGTAGTAGGATGTAGGAAGCTGTCTGCTGGCACAGAAGGGTGAGCACTGACGGGATGCAGGCGGAGCATTGGAGGTATCTTGTGCGTCCCTACTAAGAAAGGAAAAACGGATGGTGCAAGCATTACAGACTCTGCCATGGATGTATCATGGTGACTGAGCATCCTGCAATTCTTCATCCCAGCAGGGTCAGCCCGGGACTCTGGGCAGAGCACGCTGGTCACTCTCCCAGGCGAATGGAGCCAGCGGCGTTCAGAGCCATGATTCCAGTCACAGTGAGGTGACTATAAGCCTCCAGTCCTTCATAATGTGCAAAGTCACTTGGCTACTGGTCCCGTAGAATAAAGTATGGAGAGAAAGGCTTCCAAATTAATGCCTTTCACGGGGTCTGTCCAGGAGGGCAGATACACATCAGCTACACATCACTAATCAATCCCAGATCTAATTCAGGCCAAGCCTAAACACAACCTAATACAGCATTCCAAATATCCACTACTGAATTAACGGAGGTAGCACATGAGATGGTATAACATATATACATCTTCATCTTTAGGGATATATATATATCTTTATATATACACACACACACACACACACACACACACACACATATATATCTGTCTGTCTTAGGTTTAGGACTGTACAAAAACAGGCTGTGGCCAAATTTGTCCTGGGAGCCATAGATTGCCAATCCTTGCTCTAAATCCAGAAGTTATTTTTAAACACTCTGGTCAATAAAAACCAAACAAAAGGGAATGGATTTCCAGTGCAGGATGCAGGCAGTAACTTGGAGTATTTTGTGCTTGCCATGACTAAAGACAGTGAGATCTAAGGGTCTTCCTGGAGTAGGACCTGGCAGAGCCTACATTTAAAGCCTCACATAGAAAGAGTGGGGGTGGTTGATGAGCACCCTCCTCAGCGATCAGCACGCTTCTATTCTAATTGGCACGTCAGTGGAAAAGTTGGAAGCCATAGTCCAGAGACCGTGGTGCCAAAGACTTGCCAGTCGTTGTCTTCTCGGGTGGTTTCTCATTTGTGAGATCAGTGGCAAAACCACTGAAAGATCTGCATTCTTGTCTTCAAAGGCAGTAAAGAAGAAGAGGGCTGAGAATACTGTGTCTCCCTCCACCTTCAGTCTCAGACAGGGGCCCCCAGACAGAATGGGTGAGGGCAGGGCCAAAGCATGGAGCGAAAGTTGAGCCTTGGGAGTCAACCAAGAAGGAAAGAAACCCAGTGGAGAATGTGCTTCAGAGATGACCTGAGGGCCATGCGGTGAGAAGATGGATTTCTTCTCTCTAGTGCCAGAAAAGATTCTAGATCTGACTCAAAGACTGTGCAGAAAACAGAGCACTCGAAAATTCTATAGCTCAAAGTATGGCCCCTGGACAGAGAAGGTCTAGGGTCTCTCTCTCTCTCTGGAAATGAGATTCCCAGTGAAACAAATTCTGCGCTTGTGGAAGACTTAGGGAGTTTTGTTGTCATTACACTCCACTGACTTTCTCAGGCTACTCTTTTGGAAAATTGTTTTTGCTTACGTGCTTGAAGATGAGGGGAAAACACTCTTTTGGAAAGCTGCAGAAGCTTTAAATGGATTCAAGAGGTTTTGAAAAGCACTTCAAGCCATTCTAGGTAGCATGTGTGTTGACACAAGAACTGGAGAACCCACTTCATGATATCTTCATGTTTGGCCCCAGAAATCCTCTCCACCTTTCTGCTCTGGACAGGACTGGAAGAAATAGAAATGAAAGTGGGTCAGATCGTGAGGCTGGCATTTTCCCAGCATCCAGGGCAATGACTCCCTTTTAGAACTGAAAAAAAAAGAGCAAAAACATAGAACTGGCTGAGAAGACAGCTGGATTACTGAGATACCACATTTGTTGGAAATCTATCTACAGTCTTGCTAAGCTTAGAACTTAGTCTGCGGGATGACTTTGGTCACCTTCATCTAGGGAGACGTCCAGTGAGGAGAAGCGTTGGGAGAGAGGATGTCACACATTCCCAGTGTGGCTTCTTGTTCTTTCCCAACAGCAATGTGAGTTTCCAGGGCACGAAACACCTATATTAAATTAGAAGTTCTAACACAATATTAAACGCCAAATGTAAATGTTTCGAGTCAACCTCTGTTGATTACTAATTTCATTATTGATTAATGAATTGAAATGATTCATTTCCATGAATGTATGTGAATAATTCAGAGATGTTGTTCCCAAGTAGAACGCTCCAGTCCTTGCCCTTCCCAGTCCTTCCTCCTTTTTTTCTGATTCAGTAGTAGTTTAATTGTTGCTGTCAGAAGCCACCTTATTTTAAACAGGAAGGGATCGACTACAGGGAAGTAGGTGTTTACAAAACCAATGGGGGGAGGGAAGGGGGACTCTTAGCAGATTTTGCAGGAATGACTCCCAAAACGGGCCTCCCAAAGGAGCTGCTGCCTCCACCGTGGTCAGGAAACCACAGACCCTACCCCGGCTCCCAGGCCACACAGGTTCTGCGATGATCTGGGGTCAGGAAGCGACCATCACACAGTAGCTCCAGGAACCTGTCACCTCAGTATGACCCGTCCTGATAAATAGGTTTCTCATGCCCCACGAGAGCCTGGGGCCTCTGCTGCCACAGCTGGAGGCAAACGACAGCCCGCCATGACCAGCCTTCCCTGCAGAAAGCAGAGGGAAAGAAGGGGCAGGACAGGCCCTGCCTTGCTGCTGCCTTCCGAATTCCACAGCTGTTTCCCGCAAGTCACCTGGTTCCCCACAGCACAGGGCGTCTGGAGGACGCAGGCCTCATCCCACCAACCCCAGCAGTAAGGCTGTCGGGGGTGGGTGGAGTGGAGGGGGCCGAACTGGAACGTTGCCTCCACTTCCTTTCTTGCTCAATGACATTTTCACTTAGAAACTTCTTTCACACTGAGGTAGAAATGACAATGGCAGTCAAAGTGTTACTCTTTCCAGGTAGATCTATAAGAACTGAAAATAAAAGATGGTAAGACTTCTTATTAAGTGAAAAAACAGCAAGCTTCAGGATGATATTTATAAAATTGTATCATGTTAGAAAAACTGTGTGTTATTGTGACTGTGTGTGCACATACACACATACACATGTACAAAACATATACTTATATAAGAATTATACCTGTGTATTCACATACATAAATAAAAGTACAACATAGAAAAGTTCTAGAAGGATATACACCCCACCCATTAACAATGATTCACTCTGGATGCCGGAATAAGGGATAATGTGAGAGAGAAACTTGCAATTTTTATAGCCTTGTAAAGATTGAAAGTTTTATAAAGAATCTATATGACTTTTTGTAATATTTTAATATTAAAATGACCTGAAATCATATTATCTGGGAAGAGTCGTGGCAGGGTCTTCTGGGGTGCTGATCTGTGTGGTGGCTATATGGGTATCTACATATGCAAAAATTCATTGTACTGTATACATATGATTTGTGTAGTTTACTGTATGTGATTTATTCTTTAATAGAACAAAGTTTAAAACTAATAAACAACTTAAGTGAAACTGATAAAAGATATAACAATCTCAGACACTTGCAAGGTATGAGAGAACACACAGCAGCCACACCTAGATAGTCTCAAGTTGTGTGGCCTTAGGGAAGGTATTTAACTTCTCTGAAATGCAGTTTTACCCGTCTGTAAAATGGGTATGGTGATAGTCATTACCTCAGTATTAGGGCAAGAACTAAATGAGTTACCTTATGTGAAATACATATGCCTGGCACACAATAAGACATAATAGTAATTATGGAGAAAGTCATTGTTCTTATCCATTGGAACAAGTGTATTAGTTTTCTAGGGCTAACCTAACAAATGACCACAAACTGTGTACAGTCAGAGTCCAGAAATCCAAAATCAAGGTGTCAGCAGGGTTGGTTCCTTCTGGAGACGTTGAGGGAGAATCTGTTCCATGCACTCTCTCTTCTGCTGTTGCCCACAACCCTTGGCATTCCTTGGCTTGTAGACTGGTAAATTAATTAAACAAGGAGGCCATTAGCCTGAAGTGGCTCTAATGCTTGGCGGCCTATGGAAGCAAACTGGAACCTAAGCCTGTAAGTGCTTCCAGGTTAAGAAATGGAAATGTAAGGATAACCAATCACAAACAACCAAGTAGACTTTAAGCTACAGCCGGTCAAACAATTTCCTTCTTTGCTTCTACACCTTCTCTATGTAAGTCTTTCCCCTGGTTCTTAAACTCGGAGTATTCCTAACCACTTCCGGTTTGTCACTGCCTGATTGGAATCAATTTTTGCTCAAATAAACTCTTCAAATTTTTAATATGCCTCAGTTTATCTTTTAACAAGATGCAGTGCTCCAATCTGTGCCTCCATCTTCACATGGATTTCTTCCCTGTGTGTATGTTTCCCTATGTGGCCTCTTCTCCTCTTAGAAGGACACCAGTTATTGGCTTTAAGGCCCACCTTAACCTACTAGACCTCATCTTGACTAGTTACATCTGAAAAGACCCTATTTCCAAAAAAGGTCACACTCTGAGGTTCCACGTGGACCTGAATTTGGGGCTGACACTGTTCAACCCCCTGCAGTCAGGCATCATTATTCAGCTCTAATGCTCACAGACACTAAAAGGTCAAGGGAGGAGTGCGGGCGTCCGGGTAGCCAGGAATCAGAATCTAGGATGACCCAATATCTGTAGACTTCTAGTTTATTGTTTTTAATAAAAAATAAAGTATCAAGTGAGAATAAATCACTAAACTCCCATGGCTACGATCTGGCCTATTATTTTGACAGTAATATCATTTTGCGTAAAAGAAATGCAAACTTTTCAGCACAATCAATAATAAACAAATATTATGAGTCTCCCAAGTTTTATGTAAACTCTCTTTGTTTCCCTCAGTTTTAACAGGCAAGACTGGCCTCCGTGATACTTGAGGTTGCTTTTTCAATGTGCCACTAGAGGGAGAAAAGGTTGTGTGTTTGTTTTTGAAGCGCCTATTGCAGGATAATGAGGTTTCTCTGCGCAATTACTGCAAGTATGAGCTCCGCGTGTGTGATTGCAGAGTAATTTTGTCTTAATGTTGATGATGCACACCGCACTGCAGACCACAGTGAGCTGGCATAAATCACAAGCTGTGTTCCTATTAAAAGCGTATTGTTGGAAGGAGATGGGAATCTATACCAATTCAAACTCTTTCTTTAATCACTGAAGTTCAAATGCTGTCTTTAAAATTGGACTTTTGCAATGTGGGGATGGGCATTACGTGATAGGCAGAATGGCTTCTAAAAAGAACGGTGGTGCAGTAATTTGAGAAGTCAGAAGATGCAATGGAAAGGCCTCAAGATTTGCTGTTTGGAGACCAAGGTGTGACCTCTCAGCTTTGTTTTTCTACACATTTGGGTGTCATGTAGCTGAGTAGAGTGATCCAGCCCTGAGAAAAATAATAGCCGTAATAGTTAACACTTAGGTGGTACTCATTCCTACCAGCACTTTACATATATTAACTCATTTAACCTTCACAACAATTTAAGGTGGATGTTCTGTTATTATCCTCATTTTAAAGATGAGGAAACTGAGGCCCACAGTCACAAAGGTAGCGAGTACCAAAGCTGACCACCTTTCTAGGTGAACTTACATTGTCCAAAGTCCTACTCAAATGCTTTAATAATGTACCACCACATCATCAAACACCTATTGGAATGACTGAAATTGCAGAGAACAAAGAGAAAAACTGATGATGACAAGTGCTGACAAGGATGTGGAGCAACTGCAACTCTCATACACTCTTGGTGAGAATGCACAGTGATTCAGTACCTTGCAAAGCAATTTGGCCATTTCTCTTATAAAGTTAAATATACAGTTACCGCATAATGCAGAAATCCTACTTTTAGGTACTCACTCAGGAAAAATGAAAACTACATCTACACAAAAACCCACACATGAGTATTTACAGTTGCTTTATTCATATTCATCCTCCTGTAGTGGAACAGAATTTGCTACCCTAAAAGGCGTCTCTGGCTTGATTATTTTTAAGAACAAAAGATTCAGGAAGAAACTTTGACCTTCCTCCTAACTGCCTAAAATAATTTAAGATAGAAGGCCTGTTCCAGGAAGGAGCTCTCACCATAGATAACTAGAGCACTATATGAACTAGGTGTGGTGGACAGGGAGGAACCCAGCAAGGCCCATTTGATCAAAGTCCTCTCCATGTCTCATTGTCTTTGCAAGGCATGGCAAACATTTTTTTACCAAACGTTTGCTTTTCCATCTCCATGTGAATTGCCTTCCTCTCTTTTGGAGTCCCAAACCACTACCCTCAACATCCTCTTTTGTCTTTGGCTGAAGATGGTATTTAAGGTAGTAGCTTCAGCCATTTTAGAAAGTTACTCTGTTTTCCTGGGTTTCTCCCACATATACATGGTATTAAACTTTGTTTGATTTTCTCCTATTATTCTGTCTCATGTCAATTTAACTCTTAAATCAGCCGGAAGAACATAAAAGTGTAGAGGAAAATTCCTTCTTCCCCTACAACCCAAAACTAGAAAAAATTAAAATGTCCCTGAATTGCTAAATAGAAAAGCTACTTGTATCCACATAAAGGAATACTACTCGGCAACAAAAAGGAATGAACTTGTGCAAAAATATGGATGAATCTCACATGAATTATGCTAAGTGAAACAAGCCAGAGTCAAAAGGTTACTCTCCATATGAGTTTATTTATATGACATTCTGGAAAAGGCAAAATTATAAGAATAGAAAATGATCAGTGATTGCTAGGAGCTGGGATGGGGGAAGAATTGATTATAAAGGGACAGCCTGAGGGAGTTTTGGAGGACAATGGAACTATTCTATGTCTTAATAGCATTAATACATACAACTGTATGCATTCATCCAAACTCACAGAACCGTACACTAGAAAGGGTGAATTTTGCTGTATATAAATTAAAAAGTGAAAAGTAATGTAAACAGTGAGGGCGGGATTTGAGCTCAGGCTGTCTGACGACAATATATTGCCTTTCCAACATGTCCTAGGTGTATAAACTTAGGAAAGTGATTAACATTTCTTTGCACCACTTTCCTCATCAGAATAATGGAGAAAGTAGTATCTACATCACAGGGTTGCTAAAAGATCATGTAAGGGTCAGCGTCCAGTTAGAAACAAAAGCCACGTAAAGTATTTTAACAGAGAAAATGTAATTACCCAGGTATTGGATGAAAGCAAAAGGAAACACTGCAGGAAGCACTCTTCGGGCTAGGAGAACAAAAGGAAGAAATCAGAGTTCTGATCGAACGTAGGAGGAGGAGCCCTGAGGAATCAGCACCCAGACCTACCTACCAACCAGCTTCTGCTGGGCCTTCTAAGGGGATATGAGGCTGTTTCTAGGAGAGCGGAATGAATCTGAAAACTAGAGCCAAAGGATGCCATGGGAGAAGTGCCAGGACTGGAGCCATGCTGACAGGGATAGCAGCAAAATAGGAACAGGATGTCCCCTCCCCTACCCTGCCAAGCCCCACTTACAGCCTTCCAATCCCCCGGAGAGCCTCTTATTGGTGGAACCTACCAGGAAGCCAGCTGAAAAGGAGCCATGGAGTTCGCAGGGCTCAGCATCTAAAGGCAGAATGTAGAAGGGTGGGTTAGGAGTAGAGAATCTAATAACTGTCAGAGGCATTTACTCAGCACCCATTCCTTCATTCACCAGATATTTGTTGAGGATCAGGCATTCAGCTGGGAAAGGCTCCCATCTTTAAGGAGCTGAAGCTAAATAAGGAAAAATAAAGCAAGCTAAGGGAGGTCTTGGTGCATATGTTAGATTGGGTTTTGCAATCAGATATATGACTGTTTCTATTGCAATCAGATATAGGACTGTCTCCATGGGGAAGTCATCTCCTCCACGTGTCCGATCCTTGGAGCAATGAAGCTAGGACATCATCTCTCTGTGTGACACTGAGACTCTGGCTTTCTTCCCAGAGAGAGAAAGCACTCCGTGTGCTCACCTGATAAGCTGAGTCCCTCTATGAGAAGGGCAGGATCTGATCATTTGAGATGTCTGCGAGGAGTTCTACATAGGGTGCTTAGCCCAACAAAGTGTCTTGGCCAAGTTTCTCTGGGACAGAAAGTGATCACGTCTCTCCTGGATTCTCCCTAGTTCCTAAAAAAAGGTCTAAAAATCTCAGATCCCACTTTCAAACAAAGATGAAATCCAGTTACCTTTTACCTATTGTACTGACAAGAGATTTTCACATATTGAGGTATATGAGATAACTATTCAGGTTCAAATCTGATTCGGCTTGGGGCCAGCCCTGTGGCTGAGTGGTTGGGTTCACGCTCGCTTTGGCGGCCCAGGGTTTCACCGGTTCAGATCCTGGTCTCGGACATGGCACAGCTCATCAGGCCATGTTGAGGCGGCATCCCACATGGCACAACTAGAAGGACCCACAACTAAAAATATACAACTATCTACTGGGGGGATTTGGGGAGAAAAAGCAAAAAAAAAAAGATTGGCAAGTTGTTAGCTCAGGTTCCAATCTTTAAAAAAAAAAAAACTGATTCGGCTTGAACTAAAAAGTCCAATTTATGGCCTATCAGGCCTACATTTTACATCTGCTTATCCATTAAAGATGCACTCTCTTAAGATAAGAATGCATACTTGACCTCCTACGCCCTGTTGGTAACACCCAGATTAGTCCCTTTCCTGACACCAGGTCATGTTGACCTGCTAATTTGCAACTGAATACCTCTTTGAAATTTTGACAAAAATGTATCCTGGGTGTGTTTAATTTATGTCCCTTGTTCTAAAAAGATATGACTGTACTGAAACGCACGCTTCTCCAGAAGACCTTCTAAGGCCTTCCCAGGTTATAATCCTCACTCTGGCTCATAATAAAATCACCCCCATTCTGATTTATAGGTTGGTTATGGATTATTTGCTTCGACAACATGTCCACATATTTATGCGACAGTCTTTGTTAAATGTTTGTATTGATTTGACTCGGTGATCCAGCTTCAGGGCTCTTTTGAGCACTCTAGCTGTCTTGTTACTAACTGTTGGCAAATGTCTTCTGACTTAGTAGTCCCTCTTGTGTTCAAGCAAGACCTAGTTTCCCATCCCAATGTTAAAGAACAAAAATTAAACCAAGTCAATTTAAAGATCTAATAGGCTTTATTCAGTGATACATGAACTGGGCAGCATCCCGTCCAACAAAAAGATAGGAGCTCCGAGGAACTGTACAATGTGTAAGGTTTTCATAGGCAGAAACTAGGCGGGACAGAAAAGCTATTAGCAAAAGAAAAGAAAGGATTGGTTCAGGCAAGGTTACATTCCCCTCTGGGAGGCATGGAGTCTTATCCTGCAGATCCTCACTGGTGCTGACCAGGAAATTCCAGGCTGATTGGTTTAGAATCCCACTCCTGGGAGAGGCTGAAACTGCAAATTCGGTTAGGTGTTAAGTCTTGGTGGGCTTAACATAAATGACTCCATCTGGGACTTGTTTCTTTTAACACGAGTAAATTGCCTTCTAATTGAAGCCCATCTCAGGCTCTGCTTCTAGAGAACCTGACCCAAGACATCAGTTATTCCTACCAGTTCTCAAAGCGAATCCTTCCAGGTGCCCCCAAAACAGGTGCAGCCACCACCCGCTGCTGATGGATTCCCTTCCCCAATGAGAACACTCCTCTCCACACCAAGAATGACCTCACCAGATGCCCTCAGGGTTTACCATCCTCAGGAAACTGGATTCTGGGCAGGAAATTAGGGTTTGGGAGGGAGGGCAGAACAGAGTGCGTGGGCATCCTGGAAGGGCTAAACAGGCCCCCAAACTGTGTGAAGTGCTTCAGTCTTTGGTGGCCCAGGAATTGATATTAACCCAACACATTAGCCAAACCAAGCTGGTCATGTCCTTGTGTCAAAGCCAAAGACTCAACGTCAAGGGCTGCTTGAGTCTACCCGCTCAACCTTCCTCCAAGTTCAGTTTTTGCAGAATAGAGTCTTTCATCTTAGCAATTCTGAGCTGTATAACACTCTGTAGGGGAAAAAACATGAATTTTGGAGCTAGTTCTGATGCAAAAGGTAGCTCACAAATTTCTTGACTTCTGTGTTCCTCAATGTTCTCATCTATAAAATAGGACAATAATATACTTGTCACACATTCCTTCTGAAAATTACAATTAGTCTGTATAAAACAACCAACAGGAGGCCTGGTTCTTTCCAAGCAGCAGCATTGCAGGTTCTTATTAAGGGGCAGCAACTACTTTTACTGCAAGCATTGTCTTTATTTCTTCTTTGTCAGCTTTACTCATTTTATTATCATGTAAATGAGTGCAAATGTTGACAATATAACTGGCCTACAGTACAAAGACATTTTGCTAATACCGTTTGCCACCTGGGACTTCCTCCATCTTATGTTGCTTCTTCTTCCTCCCCTCACCTTTCCTCACCCTTTGCCATCCCTCTTCTGTCTCCTTCTCTCTTCCCTTTGTCACCCTTCTTTCCCAGAGCTCTATTCCAATGTTGGTAGAAAGATGGGCTAATCCAACTTTGGGGATCATGTGAAAGCATCACACATCTGCCCCTTACGCATTACACCTGTGGGAGAAGCTGTCCACATCCCCCCGTATTCCCTTGGCACCCACCTTTTTCATGCATTCACTGCAAACAAATGGGACACCCTATGCGCTTTCTCTGGCATGCTCAGTCCACCCACAGGACTGTCTGGAAGCACTAGGGATGCACCCAGGAGCACCTTTCAGCCAAAAAGAAATGAGAGTTGGAGGGTAAATGCCCCAGTTTCCTTGCCTCTTGGATATACCAATTCTGAGGCATGTACTCCATGGTCTCCCAGATGTCCCCAGCAGGACTTAGCCCCAGTCATCCACTGGGGAAACAAGCTGATTATTAACATCCTATGGGTTGGCTTCCTCTCTTTCCATCTTACTGGCCACTCCCCTGATGGTGCATTCAAATCCTTATCTCAGGGGCCGGCCTGGTGGTGCAGTGGTTAAATGCGCACGTTCCGCTTCTCAGCGGCCCTGGGTTTGCTGGTTCGGATCCCAGGTGCGGACATGGCACCGCTTGGCATGCCATGCTATGGTAGGCATCCCACATATAAAGTAGAGGAAGATGGGCACAGATGTTACCTCAGGGCCAGGCTTCCTCAGCAAAAAAGAGGAGGACTGGCAGTAGTTAGCTCAGAGTTAATCTTCCTCAAAAAAAAAAAAAAAATCCTTATCTCAGGTTCTGCTTGGGGAGGCAACTCAGCAGAGAACACCACCCCAACCCACCCAACATCTTCAACCTCAGGGTGGTCACTTCCTGTCATGACCTAAGAATCAGGAACTAGGCAGCCCTACTAGAAAGAGAAGGGATGTAGTGGAAATCTGCTACAGGATACCTGCTACGAATTTTCTTTGTTTGTTTCAAATAGAAAACATGATTATGGTCATAACTCACTGGATATTACTACATCTTTCCGGCTCTTGCTTCCACAGGCATTTGTCACCTAGCATTATCTCTTTATTACTGAACCATAACAGTTTTCCCATTTCTCGAAAGACATAGCAACAGATCTCTGAACAATGAAGACAAAATTGGCTGTTAGGGGAAATATATTAGGGGTACCAAGTGCTCACCAACAAAGAGTTATTAAAACATCTCCCTGGGTCAGTTAAGAAAGAAAACCAACAAATTGTTACTTTGCAGCTGATGTGAGGCAGGTAGGTTGGGGGAAGAAAGAAGAGATTCCTTAGAGACATCCTCATTTTTCTACTCCCCAGCTCTGTAGCAATTAGATGTCTACCACAAACACCTATTCTTCATTTATTCCCTTATGCATTTATCTCTAGCCAACATTCTTGCCTGAGATTGGAAAGCTGAGAGAGGTAAATTTTTTCTTTCAGGAAACTTAACACTAATGGTCACATTTAAGTGACAGACAAACATTCCTCATGATAAAATAAGACCCAAACCTTCAGCACTGGGTACACATTGTTTTCAATTCATCTAAACTCTTAACATTAGCAGAAGCTTAAAGATATAGTGAGCAAGGACTTCCACTAGATGTGTCCATCGTGAATTTTTAAGATTTCTATTTTTAAAAATACAGAAAACCCACAAAAGATTAAGTAAAATCATTCATAATTCCCCCCACTTAAAAATGTATATAAAATAAGAAATAAAATTAACTCCTGTCTCTCACCCCTCCAATCACCCCCATTCTGGGGGGAGCATAATTCTACTGTGCGTTCTCACAGGCTCATCTCCTCCTAAGACCCAGAGAGTAGAAAGTCTTGGACTGTCATTGCTCAATCCTTTTCTTCCTTAGGGAACAAGGTTGATAGAACGGAAAATTATTTTGGTTGGATTCTCATAACCAACAATGAAAAGATACCTTCTCACTTATGATGCATTTTGAGCCAATATATACTCACTATCAGAAAACTGACCATTAGTGTATGTATATATATATATATGTATACATATACATATACATATATATATATATGTAATTATTTTTTTAAGTGACAAGAGATTTTCACATATTGAAGTATATGGGGTAACTATTTGGGTTCAAAGCTGATTCAGCTTGAGCTAAAGAAGCCTGACTCACGGCCTA